CTCAGTGGATAGAGCGTCCGCCTGTGGACTGAAAGGTCCCGGGTTCGATTCTGGTCAAGGGCACGTACCTTGGTTGCGGGCACATCCCCAGTAGGGGGTGTGCAGGAGGCAGCTGGTCGATTTTCCTCTCATTAATGTTTCTAACTCTCTATCTCTCTTCCCCTCCTCTCTGTGAAAAACCAATAAAATATATTTTTAAAAAATGTTTTTAAAAACATTTTTATTGATTTTAGAGAGGAAGGAAGAGAGAGAAACATCAATGATGAGAGAGAATCACGGATCAGCTGCCTCCAGCACGCCCCCTACTGGGGAGTGAACCTGCAACATGGGCAGGTCAAGGGCACCTGCCCAGGTTGCAGGTTTATTCCCCAGTAGGGGGCTGCTGGAGGCAGCTGATCCGTGATTACCCACTCTATCCACTGAGCCAAACCCTCTAGGGTGATCTGCCTTTTTTTAGATTCCACATTCTGAGTTATAAGTGAGTAGTGACCTGGTGCACAAAATTCATGCACATTAAAAGGGGATTAATTAGAGGAAATAATTTAGTATTGCTATTTGCCCTTTCTCTATAATAGAAGTGTCAGAGATGAAAGAAAATTAGTAAAATGTATATGAAAACCTTCCTCCTGTCAGAGTCTGGGGCACAACACGGGACCCAGAGTCAAGTCTCCGCCCACTTACATGCACCTCAAAATCGCATGAGACCCAGACCTGGCCGCCCCCTGCCCCCATTGGGCTAGATCCAGACCCGACCAGTCCCACCCTTGTCAAGCCCCCCTAGGCAGAGGTCATAGCCTCAGGTCCCCTGGCCCAGTGCTGGGGTGGGGGCACAGCCTGAGGTCCCCGGCCCAGTGCTGGGGCGGGGGTGGCAGCCTGAGGTCCCCTAGCCCAGCACCAGGATGGGAAAAGTACCTTGAGGTCCCCTGTCAAGCCCCACTGAGTGGGGATGTGGTCTGAGGTCCCTCTACCCAGCACCCTGACATCAGGCTGGGGGGCATGGTCTGAGGTTCCCTGTCAAGCCCTCCAGGGGCGGGGGAGGGCATAGCCTCAGGTCCCTGCTGACTCTCCTAAGGCTCCTGATGGGAACTTGGCTTCAGCTGTGGGTGCAGCCATCTTTGCGACGGAGTGATGATCGATTAGCATAGTCCCTCTTTATCAGATAGGATATCTACTGAGTTATAAATTCAAACTTAACGCAAATCCAATGGGGCAAATATTATTGTTTCCCCATCCCATCCTCCCCCCCCTCCCCAAGGCACAGGGGAGCAAAGAGCCAGGTGGTCAGTCTTCTGTCGCCACGGGGTGAGCCACGGAGGCAGAGGGCTGACTGTGCGCTCACCTCTCCATCCTTCACCTGCAGGAGCATCGGGGCGGCTGGGACCGGGATGTGGTGAAAACCCTGCCCGGAGCCCGAGAGCCGGAGAGCTGTTTCTCTCTTGGAGATAAGGGCTTTGCTTCCTGCCCATGCACACCCAGGGCGGGGCTGTGAGTCAGACCGGGTTCTGTGGGTGAGGAACTGCCAGGCTGGTTTCCTCGGCGCTGCCCCAGGTACTTCCTCTCCTGCACACGCGTCCCCTTCCCTCAGCCCCGCCAGGTCCTGCTCCTCCCGTGTGGCAGTAGCACAGCTGCCTCCGGACCTTCTTTCCCTCAGCATTGCGAGTCTCCCTGTTGTATGTACACGTATGTGAACTCCATGGATCTCCATGGCCACCGGCCTCTCCACTGACGAGTAGATTGCAGTTCACGGGCCCAGCCACCGTGGGTGGGCGTTGAGTCACTGCCAGTTGGGGGTCGTTACAGTGTTGCTGTGAACCCCTCGGAAGCAGGTCCGGGTGCACTCACACTGCTCATATTCTTCATATACAGGAAGAATGCCTAGAAGTGAAACTGCTGGGTGAAGGGTAGGGCCATTTTCAACCTCAGTAACTCTTTAGCTACCTTCCAAAGAGGGGTAACAGTTCAGAGCTTCATGTTTGATACTCCTATTGACATGAAAACAGAAAATACTGAGCATTGACCTATGAACCAGGAAGTCATGGTTCGATTCCTGGTCAGGGCACCTGCCTGGGTTGTGGGTTCGATCCCCAGTGTGGGGTGTGCGGGAGGTAGCAGGTCAATGATTTTCTTTCATTGTTGATGTTTTTATTCCCCTCTCCCTCTCCCTTCTTCTCTCAAATCAATAAAAATATATTGAAAAAATAATAAAATAAAATACATGAGCTGTTAGGTGGTTACAATACAAAAGCATAGAAATGAAAAGTAAAGGCCTTACCTCCTAGTCCTTTTCCCCAAAGGTTACTGGTTCTAACAGTTTCTTTAATATCTTTCTATAAATAGTAGAAGAAATTATTTAAATAATATATTTAAGTTTTAAAAAAATATATTTTATTGATTTTTTTAGAGAGGAAGGGAGAGATAGTTAGGAACATTGATGAGAGAGAAACATCAATCAGCTGCCTCCTGCACACCCCCACTGGGGATGTGCCCTTGAACAGAATGGAACCTGGGACCTTTCAATCCGCAGGCCGACGCTCTATCCACTGAGCAAAACCGGCTTTGGCAATATATTTAAGTTTTTAAGATGACAGTTTGTGGATACTGTTTCTAGTCCAAAGAGATTTTGCAAATTAAATATCTGCTGCTGTTAAATATATCTCTGTTGGAAGCCTCCTACTGGGCCAATCATTTGTAAACTATTTATTGAGCACCTACTATGTGCTAAGCCCTTTTCTAGAAACTTGGGATATGGCAATGAACAAAATAGTAAAAAACTCATGCCCGCCTGGAACACATTCCAGTTGGGGGTGATACAGTAAATAGGTGAGCAAAATATATGTTAAATGCTATTAAGTGCCAGGAGAAAAATAATCCAGGGGAGAGGATAAGGCATTGTTAGGAATTGTAATTTAAAAAAATGTTATTATTATTATTATTTATTTATTTATTTATTTAGAGAGAGAGAGAAGGGGAAGGAAGAGAAAGAAACATCGATGAGAAATATCCATCAGCTGCCTCCTGGACGCCCCCCACTGGGATGGAGCCAGCAGCCAGGGCATGTGACCTGACTGGGGAACCAAACCAGTGACCTCTTGGTATGTGGGATGATGCACAGTCTACTGAGCAGCACTGGCCAGACCGTGAATTGTAATTTTAGAGGAAAGAACTGAGGAGTGAGCTCTGAGGGCCCCTGGGGAAGAGTGGTCCCAGCTTATTTGAAGGACAACCAGGGAGGTCAGAGCGGCTGGAGCTCAGTGACCAGGGGGACAGTGGCAGAGGCCAGATGTATGGCAGATTTCCGAATGCCACGGTCACCCCATGCTAGACTTACCTTGAATGCAGAACCAGCAGGTGACCCCCCACTGGTTCAATCATCTGCGATGGGTGTGAGAGGAACAGTGTGTCCAGGAAGACTCCGAGGTGAGCTTGGGCTCTGGGATTTGAACCCACTGAGCCGGGAAGGCTGTGAGCAGCACACGTCCCAGGGAGCATGAGATGCCTGCACACACCCTAACCCTGACCCTAACCCTAACCCTAACCCTAACCCTAGCCCTGCACAACCCAAAAAACTGTGGCCTAGGCGAGAGCAGCGGAGTCTGGGATTTCGGGGAGGGGCCAGGGCCCCAGGTGTGGGGCAGGTATCGCATAGATGGGACCCAAAGCCACGAGTGCAAGCACCTCTGCCCTCCCCAGTACCCAGAGGGCCGCAGGGAAGGCTGAGCGGCGTGGCCGGGAGAACAGGAGTGTGGGGTGCCAGTGTGTGTTTGTGTGTGTGTGGGGGGTGGGGGTGGGGGCAAAGGAGAGACGTTTCAGAAGGAGAGGTGTGGGGGTGCTAGCGCTGGTGGAAGTGACGCAAGAGGGCTTCTGACCTGCACTGTGGGATTTAGCAACTTGGAAGGAATTCGTGATCTCGACAACTGAATTTCAAAACCCAGAGGGAGTGGGTTCCTGAGCGCTGGGAGGGTGGGGGAGAGGGCGCCTGTATGAACAGCTGCTGGAGAAGTTTTTCCAAGAGGGTTAGAAAGTAGGAAAAAAAACAAAAACAAACCCAAACCCCAAAATGAAGGAGAGAGACTGTACGGAGAGGGATCCTGTAAGCCCACCAGCACGAGGGTAAGAAGAACTCAGGGTGTGTTTGCTGAGGGACTGGTTCCCCATTTCCATCCTCCGGAACCGCGGGCAGCCGCACCATCCACCGCGGACAAACGGGAGCCGATAGTCCCGCAGCCTCCGGCTCTGCAGAACCCAGGCTCCAGGGCCCTGCCTCTGGCCGGTGCAGCCCACGGACCAGAAAAGCAGCTCAGCCCGCACGCCCATCCACGGGAAGCCGCCTCCCACTTCCTCTCGGGGTGTATTTTATTTTATTATTTTAATTTAATTTAATTTAATTTAATTATTGTATTGTATTTTATTATTGTTTATTATTATTATTATTATTTTAAAATATATTTTATTGATTTTGTACAGAGAGGAAGGGAGATAGTTAGAAACATCGATGAGTCATCGATCAGCTGCCTCCTGCACCCCCTCCCCTCCACTGGGGATATGCCCGCAACCAAGGTACATGCCCTTGACCGGAATCGAACCCGGGACCCTTCAGTCCCCAAGCCGACGCTCTATTGAGCCAAACCGGTTTCGGTTGTATTTTATTATTTTATTTTATTTTATTTACTATTTCTTTTCGGGGCTCATTTTAGCCTGAGAGTCCCTAGGGAACACCCCAGAGACCGAGCGGCCGGGCGCCGCGGCCGGAAGCCCCCGGAAGCCCCGCACAGACACGCGCCGCGCGGGGCGAGGCAGACCCACGCGGCCCCACCCCGCCGGCGCCGCCCAACCGCCGCCGAACCTTCTGGAAGCGGCGCCCCGCCGCCGGCACGGGACGCCCGAGAGGCCGGGGGGCGGGGCGCGCGGGACGGGGCCTGGGCGGGAGGCCGCGTCTGATTGGCTGCCGGCGCGCAGGCCCCGCCCCCGGGCGCCGGGGCCCGCCCTTCCCCTCCCTCCGCATGGCGCGACCCGGGCTCATTCATTCCCCGCGGGGCCTGCCGGACACCTGCGCGCTCGGGAGGCCGCCCGCCGCCGCCGCCGCCGCCGCCAGCATGTCGGGCCCCACCGGAGAGACCCCGTCCGCCATCCAGATCTGCCGGTAAGCGCGGCCGGGCTCCGGGGCCCGCGCGGCCTGCCCCGCGCCCGCCACCTCCGGCCCCTCACCGGCTGCCGGGCCTCCGGCCGCCCCCTCAGCGGCCGCCGCCCCGCCCGCCCTCACCGCCGCCCCCGCCGGGGCGCCCGGGGATGTGCCGCCGCCCGCGCCGCCCCGCCCGCGGCCCGCACAGCCCCGCGGCGCCCGGCCGCGCAGGCCGTCTGCGGGACAGTCGGCGGCGCCCGCTCCGGGCCGGGGTCCGAGTGCCGCCCGCCCGCCCCGCCCCGCCCCGCCGCCGGCGCCCGGGCCGCCTCAGTCCCCCTGACCCCGGCTCCGCTGGCCCCTGGGCGCTGGGCCCGCTCGCTCGCGGCTCGGCGTCCGGAGCTCGGCCAGCGCCGGGATGGGCGCCCCGTGGGCGGAGGCTGCGGTGTCCGGTCCCGCCTCGGGCACCTGCTCGGTCTGGGGAGAGCCGGCGCCCGCGGGAGGGACGGAAAAGCCGCCCCTGGGGCAGCTGAAGGGAGGGCTGGCCCGGCGCTGGCCGCACCGCACACAATGGGGCCCGCAGCCCTCCCACCACCCGCTCCCTCAGGGCCCCGTGCGGAGGCCCCGGAGGAGCGGAGCGGGGAGCTGGCTCCTTGCCTGGACGGAGGGCGGCCTCCGGGTGCTCCCATCCCCGGGGCAGCATCGGGAGCGGCCGCCGGTCCCTGAGCCTGAGCTCAGGGTGGGCAGGGCTCGGGCGGCCTCCCTGGCGCCGGGCCTGCAGCAGGGCCTGTCCTGCGCAGGCACCACTGGCAGCGAGGGCCTTCCTGCCTCGGTCTGGGCTGGATATCACACTGGACATCGCTCTGACCTTGGGTCCAGCCCAAATGAGCTTCCTGTGGATGTTGACATCTGCCGGGGAGAGTAAGCGCTGGCTCCGTGGGGCGCCCTGACCGCAGACCTCCTTCTGGCCCAGCCCAGCCCAGGGCCGTTACTGACCTCAAGGTCAGCTTTGGCTTTTCTGGGGGGAGGGATCTTTGGGGGGGCCTTGCTCCATTGCTTTGTTACTGGCCGTGGGTCTGTCTGGGCCCCACCCACTCCCAGTGCCAGGGGCAGGAACAATAGGAGTGACTGATGTTTGGAGACAGGCCCCCTGCGGGCTGGGTGACCTTGGGGTCCATGCTGTGCACGGGGCTTGCACACATAGCTCTCGCCTCACTCGGTTTGCCCACCTCCCCTGGGAGGGAGGCCGGGTCTCACCACCCGGCTGTGTCAGGAGGAGGCTGAGTTCGGGAGACCCAGTGCCTCTGTAGGTCATCCAACCCCGAGAGCCGGGACAGCTCCTACCAGGCTTCTGTCCCCAGCACAGTTCTTTCCACTGCACCCCCCCCCCCCCCCAGGGAGGTCTGGTTTCAGTCTGCGTGGAACGCCAGGCTTTTATCCACTCCTGATGCTGATGAATAGCAGTACCTTTCCTTCCTTCCTTCCTTCCTTTCTTCCTTCCTTCCTTCCTTCCTTCCTTCCTTCCTTCCTTCCTTCCTTCCTTCCTTCCTTCCTTTCTTCCTCTTCACCTGGGAATATTTTTTCCATTGATTTTAGAGAGAGTGGAAGAGAGAGGGAAAGACAGAGAGAAACTTCCATGTGAGAGAAACACATGGATTGGTTGCCTCCTGCACGTGCCGTGAGCAGGCCTGGGCTGGGGAGGAGCCTGCAACCAAGGTCCGTGCCCTTGACCGGAATCCAGCCCGGAACCCCTGAGGCCGCAGACCAACGCTCTGTCCACTGAGCCAAACCCGCCAGGGCATGAATAGCAGTTCTGTATAGACTCGTCTTTTAAAAACCAGCTTCTTACTGGAAATTTACATAAGGCTCTTAACCAGTGTTACCCCCATAAATTTAATTTAATATGAATAATTAGCCCTGGCCGGCATGGTTCAGTTGGTTAGAATGTCGTCCTGTACCTCAGAGGGTGGGTCTGATCCCAGTTGGGGCACATGCGGGAGGCAGCCAATCAATGTTCCTCTCTCTCCCTTCCTCTTGGTAAAATTAATAAAAAATAAAAAACCCAAATATTCTTTAAAATATTAAACATAAAATAAAAATACACCTGAAATTTATATAATGTTTTTAATCAATGTTACCTTAATACACTTAATTTTGAAAATATTTAGAAAACCCCAACTTCAGCAGGTGCTAGATTTCAGAAGCTCAGACTCATGTGTGCACAGCTGCCCACCACCATGCTGTCCGGGCTACCCCTGCACAGTCACGGCTCATATGTCTCTGGCCGAGCTGGCTGTGGGTGCCGGGTAGGATACCTGGCTGTGGGTGCCGGGCGGGATACCTGGCTGAGGCAGCTCACGTGCCCAGAACAACTGCCAAAGTGGAGGCCGTGACGAGGCCGAGGTCACGAGGACGTGGCCCGGAGAAGCCCCGGGAGAAACACTGGGAGCGTGGCCACCTCAGGGTGGGGCCCTTTAAGGACACCTGAGCTGACCCTGTTTGGAAAGAGGAGCTCCCGGCCGGACAGCCACGCCCGTGAACTTACCGAGTGTCACTGATGCCCATGAACTTACCGAGTGTCACTGAGCTCCGAGGAGCAGGGCCCCGAGGAGGGACAGGGCCTGGAGAATGCGGTCCTGCCCAGGGGGCTCCCCAGTCCCTCAGGGAGAGAACGCCCCTATCCCCACCGTCCTGCACAATTAAGAGTGGTTAATGCTCTGGCTCCTGAAGGAGGTGTCGAAGGGATAGGGGCTCTAAAGGCTGGTGAGGGCAGTGGTTAGCGCCAGCTTTGCAGCCCAGGCCTGGGTATGTGTCCACCCTCTGCCTGTTTCTCATGGGTGGTTCTGGGCGCTAAAGAGAAGAAAGTGCATCCGCACCTGGCAGCACGACTGGCTCCTGGAAAGTGAATGGCAGCTCTTTTTGTGGGAAAAGTGGGACGCAGGCTCAGGAGGCCAGTGTCCTGGGTTCGAATCCTGCTCTGCCTCATGTGGATGTGCACCTTCAGGACCTTCCTTAACCCTGTGAGTTGGAGATCACAGGATGAACCCTTTGGCACAGAGCCCGGCATTGCCCACGTGAACGAGGCTCACAGAGGGAACCCCGGCCGCTGAGGGTCCAGCTTTGGGGGGCTAGGCCGCTGTGGGGCGCTGCCTCTCCTCTTGGCCCCACCCTATAGATGCAGGTTTGGGGGCAGCATTTAAACTCTCAGAAGAGCATTTTTCCATAGGTTTGCTTTGAGGAATCATAATTGACGTTTAGTTAGCAAATTGCACTTGTCCTGGTTGCACTTGGTGTGTGGAAAGTTAGGCCGGCTCTGTCACTTACCCCGGGGCCAGTGAGGCTCACAGCCAGAGACTTGGCTGAGGAGGCCACCTGAGGATGCCCTCTGCCAGCTGGAGGTGCCCTCTGCCAGGCGCCCAGACGCCCCGTCTTCCACGGCTCACCCCAGGCAGGTCTGTGCTGTGCGTGTGGTCACGGCATCAGTGTGGCCCCGAAGGCTTGTGGAGGTCGGCTGAGGGCGTGGCCTATGGCAGGCGCTGGGGGTGGGCGAGCGGTGTGGCTCCCTCAGGGATGTGCAGGCTCTTTGGGGATCGCAGCCAGCTTGTAGATGGAGGTGGGCCGTGGCACGGCCCAGGCCGGCAGCCTGGAGCCCTCCGTGGGTAGGCCGTGTGCAGGCTGCAAGGTCATGGCTCCGGATGCAGATGCAGGAGGAGGTGCTGGAGGCAGGGGCTGCTGGGCCCGGACAGCGGGAACGGCCAGCCTCAGCAGACACTGGTGCGTGGGCTGGAGGGGAGTACGCCGTGGGGTTGGACTTTCTAGGCTCTGAATTGGGTTTGCAGTAGAATTAGTGGAAACAAACCTAATTTACAGAAACCACATTTGGAGGTAGCATTCTGGAACATTCCATAAACGATGCAGTGCCTGTGGTTGGGAGGCTGTGCTGCTCGCTCTTGGGCTCCTGTAAGTGGGGCAGCGGCCGCACCACCTGACCAGCTCCCTGCTCCCCAGGAGGCCTCGTGCGCTTTCTCGGGGACAGGGCTCCCCTGAGGGGGTCCTGGGCGGGCACGCTGCCCTCCATCCTGGCTCCTGACAGCTGAGTCACCGAGGAAGCCGCTCACACGCAGGCTGTCCCCTGCAGAGAGAATCCCCAGCAGCAGCTTTAAAACATTCCCGAGGCATTTGTAGTCCCTTGATGGTTAATGATATTAAGGGACTCATACTGTGTTTTAGTGAGTCTTTAGCTTTTATTTATTTTAAACACACACACACACACACACATATATATATGATTTTTTTTTCCTTGAAAAAGAAGGGAGAGGAGGAGAGGGATAAATTCATCAATGATGAGAGAGTCATTGACCGGCTGCTTCCTGTACGCCCCACACCGAAGATCGAGCCCACAACCCCGGCCTGTGTCCTGACCGAGAATTGAACCCTGACCTCCTGGTTGACAGGTCAGCGCTCAGCCACTGAACCAGCGGCCAGGCAGGCCTTTATCTTTAGAGGGACCGGCCGGGGAGAGGGGGGCGCGTGTATGGATGCTCAGCTGTGACGTCTGACGTTTTCTCGAACGCTGTGGAAGGGGAGCGTGGGGGCAGAGGAAGCAGAGCTGATTGTTCGGAGCTGTTTGCTGGGGCGGGAGCCATTTCCTTTGCTCTGCTCACAGAACCCTTTGGTGCTTTCCCCAATTAAAGTGAAAAGGAGGACGCGCCTGCTGGGAGCTGAGAGCCATTCCTGAAGCCGGGCCTGTAGGTGTGTCTCCGTTCCTCGCCCCTGCAGCCCAGACCCAGTGCCTGCCGCCTGTCGCCCCCTGACAGCCGCTGGCAGGGTGTGTGTGTGTGTGTGTGTGTGTGTGTGTGTGTCAGCGGGGGGGGGGGGGAAGGAGGGGAGAGGCAGGGGGAGGTGTGTGTGGTGTCTTCCAGCCCGGTCTGCCTGCTCCTACCCAGAGGCCTGGTGGCTCCTGCTCTCTCAGCCTATCAGCACCAGTGTTGCGACTGGTTCTTGCCATTGCCAAATGTCATTCA